AGGTTTTGTTGTCTCAAGGGTGGGGTGTTAAAGATTTTAAAAAGTAAAGTAGTCCTTTTAAAACCAAGTTCAAATAGGATAACAAATAAATTATGTACTTTATCAATTTAATCTCATATGTTGAATATAACATAGATTACAATACGGTGGGATTAAGGAGTCGTTTAAATCCATTTTCATGAGTATTTGAAAATCTGATGATATGCTCAGCCTGATTTCAATAGAGAATGTTTACCTCCTAATAATTTTTTTTTAAAAAATACCCCCCCTATTAAAGGAGCTGTAAATAAAAAGCCCCCCGTCCGAAATAATTTTAGGAAAAGAGTTTTTTTTTTCTTGTCAAGAAAATTCTGGGTTGGATTTTTTTACTGGGGTGTACCCCCCCCCCCCCCTCCCCCCGCGGAAAAAAAAAATCCCGGATCCGCGCCTGGTTTATTGACAATTCACATAATTTTAATATAGATATGAAAATTTGTTCAAATATGTGTGGCAGTTGGCAGTAAGCAGCTGACAGTTGGCAGTCAGCACTTGCAGTAAGCAGTCAGCAGTTGGCAGTAAGCAGTAGGCTGTCGTATATGGCATTCCATAGTTACCCTTTGGGAAAAAAATTCCTGGATCCACGGCCAGTGCATACACGGCCGTTTTTTTTATTCACATAAATATCAATATCAATATAAAATTTATTCAAATATGTGTGGCAGTTGTCAGTAAGCAGCCGACAGTTGACGAGTTAGTTATCTCGTTATAACGACTTAGTTATCTCGATATAACGAGTTAGTTATCTCGTTATAACGAGTTAATTATCTCGTTATAACGAATTAATTATCTCGTTATAACGAGTTAGTTATCTCGTTATAACGAGTTAATTATCTCGTTATAACGAATTAATTATCTCGTTATAACGAGTTAATCAACTCGTAATAACGAGTTAATTAACTCGTTATAACGAGTTAATTAACTCGATATAACGAGTTAGTTATGAATTAAAAATGGCTGTAGTTTTAATGCCATTGATGTTTAGTTGATAATTATCAGTCATACTTCACTTTAAAATTGATAAAAAGTTGCAATTTTAATTTGCGATATGGTTTAAAAGACACTAATTTTTCTGATATGTTTTGGATGACTTATTAGCTTTCATAACCAATGTCTTAGTACCTAAATTAATACATTATAATAGGAAGCTAACGCAGGCGTTAATGCAACATATATTATATACACTTACAGTGTGATATATATTATTTTGAGAGTCAGAAATGTTTGAAGAAGGGGGATATGGAGACATCAGCAATGAGGCCATGGGCGTAAAATTCGGGGGCTACTGACCACTCATAACACAACATCAAGAGGCAGTCATAAGTTTCCGTATACATGTACATGTAATTGTCTCCGGTCTTTTAAGTATACAATACATATCAACTGCATCGTTTATACATAAACAGAATACAATCACAGGCACAACCCCTCGGAAAAAAAAACTAGTTTGCTGTTTTTCAATAAAAATCTTTATCATACACACTATAAACAAACTTAACAAACTCGGTTTTATATGCTATACTACGATACTTCCTATCACTTAGATATATCAACTTTAGATCAGTTTTAACTCGTTATAACGAGAAAATTAATTCGTTATAACGAGAAAAATTAACTCGTTATAACGAGTTAATTTTCTCGTTATAACGAGATAATTAACTCGTTATAACGAGATAACTAACTCGTTATAACGAATAAGTAACTCGTTATAACGAGATAATTAACTCGTTATAACGAGATAATTAACTCGTTATAACGAGATAACTAATTCGTTATAACGAGATAACTAATTCGTTATAACGAGATAACTAAGTCGTTATAACGAGATACTAACTCGTTATAACGAGATAATTAACTCGTTATAACGAGTTAAATTTTTTTTATCTTCTCAGAAATGAGCCTATCCGGCTTTCGTATAAATGAAATCAATCCAAACCATTACAATATATTTACATTTGCAAATATCTTTCTTAGATGAACCTATTGAGGAGAAAATATGTTCAATTCTGTGTGAATGTTATTTGGGGATCTGACAGAGACAACACCCCAAATATCGACTTCAAAGATCTCAGATCAATAGAGTATGACCACAGCATCACTGCTGAACATTTTGGTTTAGCTACTAGTCCAGATTATTTATCTAAAACCCTCTTATAAGTTTGAGAGTGCTAATGCTTTGTAATGAATGTTAGACAGATAACTGCCTCCAGGACGTTAAAAAAGTTGGTGGTGGTAGTGTAATGATATGGAAAACGGTATTATAAGAAAGTAAGATTAATTTGGTTCGAATTCATTGGACTTTGATGGAAAAGGGTACTCCTACCATGGTTTACCTACACATGCCCAATCAATTTTGCAGCTTCCTAGAGCCGTATTGCAATCTCACAATACACAGCCACATACGGCTCGTTTGACACTCCAATTCTTGCAAAGCAACGGCAACCTGTTTCTGCCACAGTCATCTAAATTGCTAGTTTTAATCCAAATTAAGCAGCTTTGGACAAAATGGATTGACATGATTTGCTGAAGACAATCGCATCCCCAGACTCTGCAACAGCTGACCAAAGTTCTACATTTAGAGTGGGAGAGTATTCCTATACAGTTTTAATTACACACATTTGCTTCCATTAGATGCTGTTTGTGGCTATCATTTGTGTCTGCGGGGGGCATACCAGATATTGATCTTTAATAGCCTTAAACTGACTATAATTTTAAAATTATTGAGTAATTATGACATTTAGATGGTATTCCTGTTGCTTACCACATTTCTGTTTTATCAATGCATCATTTTACTAAATGATCTGTATGTTCAATGTGCCACTAAAATTCTACTACGCGTTTCTTTTTTTAAAGAGTATATTTACATTATTGTTACAGGCTCAAAATTAAAAGCCACGGCAATTTAAAACCATGAAAAAAAACGCATTTGCGCAAGGTTTCTTTCCAATGGGCACCACAAGTTTTTGGTGCATAGATCTGTAAAAATTATACAAATATATGTCTCTCACATCTTATGACTTACACTGTATATAAATGAAAAATGTCAGCTATGGTACTTTTCCGACCAATTAGTATACCCCTGGCCCAGGCAAAATATATAAGGGGGTGGGGGGGGGGGTTAAACACAGGCACGTAGCGACAGGGGGAAGTGCTCCGCCACATTTTTATTACCAAACATTATACAATTATTGCTGTTTTTGAGGTCAATACAATGATTTAGCCATTTGAGGAGTACAATATTCACCGAGCCCGAATATAAAATAAACTTGCACTTATTTCAAAATCATAAAGAGGTCGGGGGTAAAGCCAAGAAAAGACCAGGACCAGAACCTTGTGAAAAAGAACCCAAGAAAAAGAAAACTCAAACTCAGGGGAAAAATTGTCGTAGGAAACTGTTACCTCAGATCAAAGGACAACAGCAAATCAACAGGTTCTTTAGGATGTAGATACAGAGTAGACTGGGTTGTGGGGGATATTTTATTGTCTCTTATTTATTATTACTATTTTAAACTATTTATTTTATACAATATTGATATTACTGATACAATTGCTAGATATTGTTGGGAGTGAATTTGTAACTATTGCTAAATGGACTTGTGCAATAAATAAAATTAGGAACTTTGGTTTCAGCATTTTATTTTTTAAATAAGATACCTGCATGTCTGCAGTAGACTTCGATTTTTCTAAGACTCTTATTATAGGTGTCAGAAATAATCCTATCACATACCCTGATACATGTAGGGTGTATCGGAAAAAAGGTCTCTGCACTGTGACATAAATAATTACAAAATAAAATCATAAACATACATGTACTGGTAATTCAGTTTCAGAGAGCAATTTTATTTTGAGTCAATGCTACTGAATGTAATACATGTACTTATAGATTTCTACATTCCAAGTGAAGAAAATAAAAATACACTGTACATTAGAAATCAAAGTAAATGTTTATGGAGCAATTATCTCTTGGATATAGAATGACAAGAGGCCCATGGGCCACATCGCTCACCCGAGCATTGTGGCTAGGAAAAAGTAGTAATTGGTTTACTATTGAAAAGTTTGAATCCAAAAGTTTGGCCCCGCCCTACCCCCGGGGGTCATGATTTGAACAAACTTGAATCTACACTACCTGAGGATGCTTCCATATAAATATGAGCAATTATGGCTTTATTATTCTTGAGAAGAAGATTTTTAAAGAATTTTCCTATATATTTCTATATAAAACTTTGGTCGGCCATTGTGGCCCTGCCCTACCCCCAGGGGTCACGATTTGAACAAACTTGAATCTACACTACCTGGGGATGCTTCCATATAAATATGAGCAATTATGGCTTTGCTGTTCTTGAGAAGAAGATTTTTAAAGAATTTTCCTATATATTTCTATATAAAACTTTGGTCGGCCATTGTGGCCCCGCCCTACCCCCGGGGGTCATGATTTGAACAAACTTGAATCTACACTACCTGAGGATGCTTCCCTATAGATATGATCATTCATGCCTTTGCTGTTCTTGAGAAGAAGATTTTTAAAGAATTTTCCTATATATTTCTATATAAAACTTTGGTCGGCCATTGTGGCCCCGCCCTACCCCCGGAGGACATGATTTGAACAAACTTGAATCTACACTACCTGAGGATGTTTCCCCATAAGTTTCAACTTTCCTGGCACAGTGGTTCTTAAGAAGAAGATTTTTAAAACATACCACCAAATTTTCACTAATTCTCAATTATCTCCCCTTGAATAAGGGCATGGCCCTTTATTTAAACAAACTTGAATCCCCTTCACCCAAGGATGCTTTGTGGCAAGTTTGGTCGAAATTGGCCCGGCGGTTCTTGAGAAGAAGTCGAAAATGTGAAAAGTTTACGGACAGACAGACGGACGCCGGACAAAATGTGATCAGAAAAGCTCACTTGAGCCTTCGGCTCAGGTGAGCTATACAAAAATGTGTAATACATTGTATAATATTAACAAGCACATGTAAATTTGATCATTTGTGTCAAGAATAGATTTTTAAAGTCAATATAAAGTTGTAAACATAGATCAACTACTGCTATGTTCAGAAACAAAAAACAATTCCCATTTCTAATAAAACAATAAACAATAATTTTTGGAATGAAATAAACAGCCATGTGAATTTCATGCATTATTAAAGAAAATCAATGTATGTATTAAAATAATTCAATAATCAGACAGATAAAGTTAATTCATAGAATTAATACAGGTGTACACTATAATCATAGAGCAAAAATCCAATTCACTACCTCCATGGATCCTTCAATGAATGGTTAATACTTTTTGTTCAATATTCAATACATGTATAAATTCCAATATAATCTACAATATTCAATATAATCTACAGGTTAGCACTTTTTAAATACTACAATCTCACAAAAATGCTCTATCACAACTCTTAATATCTGATATGATGAAAAATTATATGTCAAATGAATTGTATATTATGCAAATTATCAAATTATGAAAAACAGAAATCCCCGACGAGACTAACTCTACTGGTTTGCACCATCACAAAGGAAGAAAAAAGTAACATTTGGATTTGAACTCAACTATGGGAACCAAAGTACACTTTCTATTGCAATAAGTAACCATGGCAATGCAATCAGAATTTTTTTAAAAAAATCTACAGTGTTATGTATCTTTGTTTAGTCTGCATAAGTACTTACTTTAAGAGTCTACAACACTAATAATCCTGTCAGAGTAGTATTGTTTTGATAGAATTTCACTAAAATTTCCACAAGGTAACACTGTTAAAATTTATTGAAATGAGACAGATAAACAGAATGATTTTCTAGATGAAATTCGAAATTTTATTGAAATCTTAAATAACCATGGAAAGAATATCGTTTTTAAGAATTTCATATGGCAACGCTTCCAAGAAATAAACAGAATTATATACTAGTGTAATCCAGTGTATCAAGTTTTCTTGAAATCGGATCAAAACTGTAGGAGGAGTAGCATTATGAAATTTTTTTTTTTACCCATGTAGACAATGGACACTTTACCATTGCATAAGCTTGTCTGGTTTCTGACCACTAAAAATGAAACATATTATACCGTATAAAGTTACAAACAAAAGCATGAACTCATGTAGATATGTGCTTTAGAGTATTTACTCCTAATAAAAAACAGGATAAAGTCTAGTGTAAAAGAAAATTCTAGCTAAGCTGAGCTGCAATAATCATAAAGCAAATAAAAATTTTACCCTGCAGTAACACTACTTTTATTAAGTGTGCTTATTAATTTGGGGTGTTCTTAGTCATGTACAAGCCATTTATTTTTGAAAGTTTCAGTCACACAATCAGGAGATTTCATTGAAGGAATCGGTACTTAGTACCCTGTGGTAGTTAGGAGACTTCACAGGAGAGTTGTACAATGGCTGACAACAGTTAAGTCTTTTACAGTAGGCTCGGATTCCTGACTTGAGAGATCTGTAAAACACAAAACACAAGTTATCCCCCTTTAACTTGGTGGTCAGTAACTTCCTTATGAATATGACCTGACTCTAAATACTTTTAACCATTATGAAAAAATGGAAAATAGATTTTGAAAATTCAGCATAGATTCGAAAATTTTCTGTAAGATTCCCTCTGCATTCATCACCGCATACCGGTTATTGAGTTCTTTAGAAATTTGTTCCAGGGACTTCCCTCTGGTTTCTGGTACAGCAAAGAAGATAAAGATCACAGACAGAGCACAGACAGCACTAAACATCACAAACGTCCAGGATACACCAATGTTTTCTACAAATAAAAAAATATATACAGAGTACCTGATAAGAAAACATTATTTCAAAAGTTTCAGATTTTTTTCCAACCCTAAATTTGAATAAAAGAAGGGACAATTTTTTTAGCAAAAACTCTGGCCTATCAAAACTCAAATATGCTGTAAATTTGTTCTGACCCTAAATTTGAATAAAAGATAGAACAATTTTTTAACAAAAATTCTGGCCTATAAAAACTCAAATATGTTGTAAAGAAAATTGTGATGTTCAAAATCTTTTAAACCTACCAAGGATATCCAGAAAAGTGAGTGAGACAATAAGGTTGGTTCCCCAGTTGAGCACAGTGGCAAGAGAAATGGCCCTCCCTCTCACTGAAGCTGGGAAGATTTCACTCAGGATTAACCAAGACACTACAAATTAAACAATTAATATTAGCACTGAATTAAAATATCACACAAATATACACACTTGTAAGCTTAAACCTAGACAAAATGCATATACACACTGGTATATCTTTTTGAGCATCTCGTGCAAATACTGCTATAAATGCTGTTATTTTACTTGTTCCTATACAATCAAGACAACTCTAATTGCTGAAGCACAAAATACAAACCAATAAAACAATCTACTAATTACCTGGACCAAAACTGAATCCAAAAGCAGCCACATATAACATGAGAGCCGTGAAGGCTGCTATTTTGCCTATGGTAGATCCATGGATGTGTACATGAGGTTCCTCCGTTGTTGTAGCAGTATAGTTATCCATAATGTAAGACAGCCAGTCTGCCTCGGATAATGTGTAAGAATCGTTTATAGAGAACATTTGGGGGGTTGTAGTGTAAAATACCGAGATGTTCCGATTGGCTTCAGTTAATGCTTCTAAACACTGAACACTTTCCTGGCAAGGATTAGATCCATAAATGTGGTCATTTAAATGAGAGATGATCCCCAGGAGGAGGAGGGACACACCCATTAATGTGGCGCCCGCCAAAAGGAATCGGCGACGGCCCCACTTGTCAACACAACACAATGTTATCACAGTCATCACCACCTAGAACAGAATTATTACTACATTTAAACACCTCAAAGCATTGTTTTGATAAAACATGATACATGAATCAGTTAAAATTATTTTTCCTTTTTACCTACATGCATGTATTTGAATTTATATATCCAATGTATCCAGTCTGATTAAAATCATATCCTCGATCCGCTCCTTTGTTTTTTTTATTGTTGATACACGAGGCCCTCAGAGTTAATCAGATTGCCAATGTATCGTGTAATGAACGAAAACTGACCATAAATTGATTTTCTTCATGAAAATTAGATATGTAAGATCACTGAACTAGAAGTGGCACTTCTGGACTTCCATACTCACCTTGACACAGCCGAGTCCTACAGTGGCTAATGTGGCTGCTGAGTCTGATTCAAACCCAATTCCTTCAAAAATAGTGGGGGCATAGTATAAAACATTGGGCTGCCCCGTACACTGAAAATTAAAGTATCTGAATTACGTTAGAGATAGAATGAAGTAAAAGCTCTCATGCTGGTAGTTTTCTTTATATTGTCTGTAACATTGATAATATGGAGATGTAATAACTTGGACCCATTAATAAATAGCTTGTTCCTTTGGTCACCTAATGCTTTTGTATCAAAGATGGACTTAATGGTCAAGCTCTGTTCAGAGACAATACATTGGGGATGCACAAAAAAGGTCTTTTACAATACCCCCTGGTAATCTGTTTACAGAGTAATGATAAAATGTTAATTATATCGATACAATCTCATCCACAAGATTTCCGCTTCAGTACCTGCTGAAAGAAAACTAGCCCTGCTCCAATGAACATCCGGCCTCTCATGTTGTCACTAGAGCTGAAGACATCCATACAGGTGTGTTCCTGTCAGGAAAAAAATATAACAAGATTTACAAGAAATCAGAAAATCTGAAAATAAACATTATGTAATGAAACTCTTCAAAAATAAATTTGCACTTTACAAAGAAAAAAAAAGAATTTTCAATAAAATGTTTAAATCAATAATTTTTATATACGTTGGGTAAAAACTAATGTTCCCTACCTTTTCATTGCTAATGGATGATTTTATCTTTTCTAATTCGCGATGCACTTGTATTTTCTTCCCATCCCTCAGTTTTAATAACACATCCTCCGCCTGTCAAACACAACATACTGTTTACCTTCGTGACCAAATGATCACAAGATAGCAGTAATTGGGGGAAAAAATTGATTATAAAAGAACATGTAGCTAAAATCCAATTGAACAATACAGAAAAATTTCTCAAAAAAAAAAATCCTAAATTCCTTCATAAAACATTAGTAACTCCATCCACCCCCTCTGCATGATTGTCAGTAAGAAGCAAGAAAGCAACTCCAGGTACTTGCCTCTGCATCTTTGCCAGTGAGGATGAGGTATCGAGGACTTCTAAGGAGGAAAAACATCCCCACTCCTTGTATTGCTGCAGGAATGGCTGATAGACCAAACATGTACCGCCTGAATAAAAGAAATATATTTAAAATTCATGAAATCAAATATCTTTTAAAATTGTGCTCTCTTGTATCTGACAGTATTAGTAATAACAACACAACATCTTAAAGATAAATTTTTGGAATCTATGTAGATTTTGGAGATCAGATCTTTAAACAATTTGTTGGAATACCCATGGGTACTAATTGTGCCTTGTACTTGTAATAAGACTTACGTCACATAATTTTTGTTAAATTCTATAAATTCAACATAAATTGTCAAAATGAATGAATTACTTTTGAGTACTACTTTGAATAAAAATGAATATGTATTTATGAACATGTGTATGCATAAATTTCCTTAAAATCACACGTGACAAGACAGAATCCTCTTACCATCCCTCTGTGACGTTGATAAATAAGTAGTTGACTAGATACGCCAGTAGAAGTCCAAGTGTGATCCCGAGCTCATTCAATGATACTAACTGTCCTCTCTTTTTCTGAAAATAAGAAGAATTTCTTATAACAAGAACACGAGCTATGCATTCTAAAACTACATATTTTAAGATACTACCAATTTATCATCACCTGAGGTTATAAAACTGACAAATTTGATTGAATAGAAATACAGTGATCACAGAGCACATATAAAATACTTCTGACTTACAGGGGGTGCGATTTCTGAGATGTAGATGCATTCTCCTGTGGCTGATAGAGAAACAGCAAATCCTAATAGAAGACGGCCAACAATCTGTTAAATATCATCACAATAGAAAAGTTAATATCAAACAGGAAGTATCTACTACAGCATATCAAACATAGACAATGCAATGTGCAAGGGGAAGATATAAGGGAGTTAGCTCAATACTGGAGAAATGTGTAAAATGCAGAAGGAAAAAACAAGAAAGCATCAAGGAATTATGTTTTGGAAGGATTATGATTGAGTTTAATTGATATTCAATCCATCCGAGTGAAGAACTTAAAAAAGCCTTTACAGGGAGGGGTATTTTGGCAAGAACTATGTACCTTCAACAGAGAGGTACCTATGGAAGAAACTATCTACGCAATAGGAAGTGATTACGAAAATCAGTAGTTTAACAGGAATCATAAATCCTACTTACCAGTGAAGGGTAATTTGGTGAAAATCCTAAAACAAGGGCTCCAACCAAAAACACTACTGTATTTACAATAATGGTCAGTCGTCTGCCAAATTTGTCAATTAAAACACCTGAAACCAAATAAATTAGTATACTGGAAACAGACTGCTTCAACAAACCTTTGTAGATATTGATCAAAAATCTTTTCTTACTTTCATGCATGATATACATTTGCAGTTAATATTTCTTACTTATAAAACAAGTGCTCATAATGATGCTAGAGGAAATGGAAACTTTTTAGGCAATCATTACACATCAATAAAATTCAAACTTTGCTCCATATGTAGCATAGCAGAATTTCGTATACCGTAAATCTGGAAATTTTTACTGTAGATAAATTTTAAGCAAATTTGCGCGTGCAATGCATTCGCAAAAATATTTTTCTTAAAAATAAGGCCATTCCAAGTTTTTTCTATGTTTAGCATCCGCGTGCGCCTTGGTTTTTGACATTCCATGTCAGAAAAAACAAACAGAATCAGGAGTCTGAAAATTAATTATTCAGGTCAAAATTTGTGATTTCCAGCAATGTCTTTAAATATTTGTATAATATTTCATTACTGGAATAGTTTCAGTATTTAATACCTTGATTTTGCTGAAGAAAATAATTTTCTTTCTGAAAAATAAATAAATGAAATAATTCTTTTGAATTACTTCATTCTTATTACTATAAAATATGTTTTATTTTTTTGACTTGTGTGTCTTTTGTTGAAAGATGGGTGGACGCTAAACAGGGAAAAAACTTGGAATGGCCGAAATCAACATGTAAAGAATTTTTTTTCTCTGAAAGTTGGAGTCTATTTTTAACTCAGTGAATAGGCGTCGGTAAGCACTGGTCATTTTCAAAAAGAAACCTGTTTATTATACTAATGTAACTACAAGCTAAATACCTGTGCGTGTAAATTGCCCTCATTATATGAAATATCGTCCGATGGTTTGACAAGCACTGAGACCGTGTGTCCCTTTTTAATTATTTTGTCAAGAAAGAGAGACCAATTATTTTATCCAACCATGTATCAACACGGGCGATAACTCTAGCTCAGGGCTTTAACTAGAGAGCTCCAAATGTAAACACGGCGAGTAAATTTTATGTGAGAAAAAAACCAAACGTTGAGAAAATTTAGTTATATTTTTGTCTTTATTTGGATTATATTTTAGGTTAAAAGACATACACAACCTCTAAAAGGTTAGTTATAATTAATTTAGAAGTCATTTTCAGTGCAAATCCTTTTGTATTTTTATCTTCAAAATTGTTTCAGAGCGATTCTGCAATTTCTTGCCACGTTGCGAGTATATTTGTGGTATTCTAACTGTGCATACTTAATTGAAACATAAACTGATATGAAAATCTTAAGTGATTTTTATTTTTAGCGCCAGTGACAATTCGCAAAATTTTGAAGCGTAAAAATTAATCAATAGCTTTTCGACCCAAATTCGCAGAAATAAATCGACGTTAAAATTTCCAGATTTACAGTATATATAACTTTAAAATTGTGTTTTTATTTTTATGCATTTATAATTATGATATATAGGTAGGTAAATAAAAGTTTTACAAATATATAAAATTACAATTATTAAAAGTGTCTGTGTTGATTTATTATACAATTTTGTTGAATTATTAATTATTTTTCCGCCAAAACTCTGCTGAGCGATTGGTTTATAAATATCACATGACTAGTGACCATAGACAGGTTTTGAATTTATTTGGGGTGTGACCACTCTCTTTCCGTGCTGTGGTACCAGCAGGTTGTGTTCTATAGATATCAGTTTACTTTAGTGGACTTTGGATTTTCCGTCATGGTATGTTTGACTTTTTGTTTAGTTTTTATCTTTCATGTTTGAGCATTGTTTCAGGATGAGATTTCTGCATTTCTATATTTTTCCAGTAGTTAAAAACTTGCATGTTTAATTCTCTTAGTATAGCACAGCACTTAATAAAATTTCCTGATAATTTGGAGAGCCTAAATTCCATAATTTTGGTAAGTCATTTGTTAAATACTATTTGTAAATGTAAGTGTAAATAATTGTTTTATTTTATTACTAAACTTTCATAATTAAATAGGTTCAGTGGAGATCACTTTATGAATTAAATTTTTGAGTGTTAAAACTATAACGATATTGAGTTAATGCGTTCAGATATGTATTAATCAGTGAGAGACTATTTTATGATTAGTGTTTTCTATTATAATATGAACACTTAATTGATTATTATATACATTACTGAGGTTTTGTACATTGTTTTGCAGGGCCTATTATTATGAATATCATATTTATCATGTATGACAGGATTTGAAATCATACAATATAACCTGCTGAACTTCAAACAGGTGTTGTTTTATTTCCATACACAATCAAGGTTTACATTTGGAGCCCCAAGTTAGGATCGAACTCATGACCCCTGGTTTACAAAATTACCAAATCTAAAACCTGAGGTTGTGGCCCAGGGAGGTAAGGAGGAAACTGGTTTACGTAGGTCAGCTAGAGTGAGGAAGAAACCAAAATGGCAAGAGTCATATGTCATGAGTCAGAGAGAGGTTAATGATGCAGGTAAGGAAAAATTGCAATTAATCACAAACTTAATCTGCTCGGATGTTTTGAAAGCTACTTCTCCGGATTTGATACAGAAAGTGGTTGATTCCATTGTAAAATGATGGGACATCATTTCATAGCCAGGGGGGGGGGGATGTATCTCTAATCTTACTTCTTACAAGTGATCCTTCTATAGATCCCATTAACATGGCACTGATGACCTTACCTGCAATAAGTGATTCCACTATAGCTCCCATTAACAAAGCACTGATGACCTAACCTTACCTCCAATAAGTGATCCAGCAATAGCTCCCATTAACATGACACTAATAACCTTACTTCCAATAAGTGATTCCACTATAGCTCCCATTAACATGGCATAGATGATCTTTTTTTACTTCCAATAATTGTTCCCACTACAGCTCCCATTTACATAGCCCTGGTGACATAGCCTTACCTCCAATATCCAATCTCGCATTAGCTCCCGTTAATAAAGCACATATGACCTTACTTCCAATAAGTGATCCCACACCAGCTCCCATTAACATGGCACTGATGACCTTACCTCCAATAAGTGATCCTGCGACAGCTCCCATTAACATGGCACTGATGACCATCTCCTGGAAGGAGCAGGACAGACAGAAGTCATCCCTCAGCTGTAACACTGCTCCAGAGATTATCCCTGTCAGCGAGAAAACAAAGCCTATTGAACAACAAGGCAGGTACAGCGAGTAAATTGTGGGTTGACCAAATGAGAGAAATGGATACAAAAGAGGAAGATAAATGCTGTATCACAGTGTACTTTAAAAAGTGGGTTTCATATTTTAGCTGCTTTGGTGAAGACATCAATTCACTAATTTAATAAACCACTAGGAAATTATTTATACGGTAAATTCAATACATGGAATGGACATGTGTGGCACTAATTTAAGATTACGCCCTAATTTTGAGTATGCCAATATAAGTACACATACGGTATACTAATCAGTAGGTCCTGAGACAAATGTATTTTTGTTTTTTTTTTAAATCAGTTCACGCCTCCTTGTTTTTAATTATCTTGATTTGTCACTACACACACTACCTATGTCATATCCAAATAACACTCCTCCCAAAGAGGCCATGATTGAGGCAAAGACCACATAGATGGAGCCACAGGTAGACTTGGATGGTATCCCATCATCCTCTACTGGGGCTGTCTGTAGGTGACACTCCTGTAATTCTATTTTAGTGGAATTCACAGCACTGTGGTCATCTGAGTCAGAATTGTCTGCAGCAGATACTTTGCTGAGAAGAACCTCTGAAAAAAATAACACATTTTTGTTTGGTACATTTTAAAAGTCTACTCAGTATTCAGAAAATGTACCAGTAGTTTTGATTTGTTTTATTATAAAAATGATTGCACTGTTCCTGCCCTCACCTAAGTCACCTTTGCAGACTATAAAATCTCTTTTAATAATAACTTAAAGATAGGTAAGGCCAGTGTTAAAGATGAGAATGGATGAGATAATATATGATCAGAATCAACAACAAAGTATATATGTGACGCGCCAAGCAAAAACCTCCCTTATCTCTATTATGACGTAACGTCAAAAGACGCGTCTAAAGTCAACAAGGTAAAAGCGACGTTAAAACGGCCCCTCCAAAAAAAACTCTCCCCAGCAGAACAAGGGTACCTTGTTTTATTTATATGCTAAGAAATATTCTTGGGTGTGGTTTGATGTAGTGTATTCTTTAAGAAGTTATTCTCCGTCAAGGGTCTGTGTGAGCTATGTTTTTCACAATTATTAAGTGTGCATTTTTTTAAGATGTCCAGTGGTGGTTAGAAAAATTTCCGCAAGGCCGTTTTTAAAATGAATTTTGTTTGCCCTCTCTCTATTCAGTTTTAATAAAAATGCGTCGGTAGGTGGGTCAATTATTGAAGGCATATTCTAAAATTAAAAAAAAAATTGTCAATTGGATGAGAAAATTCCGGAATGACGCAATAATTTGGATGTTTTGTAAAGATTTTAGTCGGTTCATCTTAAAAGGTAAAACAAACAAGACTTAGTTCTTGAAAATAGTTTTCTTTTATTTAAACTGCTAATTTCCTGCTTTTTCATCCTGATGTACATGCCAGAAAAATTAAACAGGAGCATTAAACTACTGTCTAGAAAAGGTATTTTTTTAAAATAGTGATGCAGTAAAAATTGACCTCTCTTAGCTATCCAATTTATACGTGAGCAGCTAACGCTGCGGTTTATATTTTAAAAAATGTAAGTTATTCCAACCCAGTTTATACCGTTTATGTAAATTGGATAGTTTTTTTTATTCCTTATAATTTAATTGTAAGTTAAAATTCATTCAATGTATGAACAAAATAGATTTTCATCAAAATCACTTCAACAGTTCAATTGAAATTTTACATCAGGCGGATCGATGTTTTTTACGCAATTGATTGTGACATAGGTAGCCCAATTTATAATGCAATAAATAGTTATTTTTTATACAATCAAATACCGCGTTATAACCATAATTAAAGTGCAGAAGTACATACTTACATCTTTTCACTTCCGTAGTCACGGTAGATGATGTAAGTTAGAAAAATGCATTGCTCTTTGTTTCACTTTTCTGTGCAAGTAGTAAGAACTGTACATAATCTTTGATAGCTTTCCTAGATTTTCGGTAAATGGTGAAGTTTAAATAAAAAATGTTATTCTCTATAGATACGACACAGAGTATAATCTATTTGACTTGATCACTTCTTCCGGAACTAGTTTCTAGCTGTTGATTTAAAATGTTCATTTTGAAGAAAGGACTTTCAAGTTTCTCAATTTATTTTTTAGGCGTTTATCACCTTTTCATTTTGTATGCAAAATGTAGACCCCCCCCTTCCCTTCTCCTGTGTCTGCTCTATCTCTTTGGAGACTTCGAGCAAATTTAGTCGTCACAGTACGGATGCTCGCTTACATTCTAAGTTATAGTCCCACTTTCTAAGATATTTTATGATTGAGAATAAAACAGATTGGACATATGTTTATCGACATTTTCAGCGGGGAAAAAATGAAACATTCCGTTTTTTGCTGCACTGTTACACTCGGAGTTCCTCGGATGACTCGTACCTCGCACATTACGGAGCGTAGCGGAGTCAGCCGAGGATTGTCGATTGGCACTGTTATGTATTCATAATCCGTTTGCTGATGTTAAAGTGTAAACCCATTGCATCAAATGTGAAACTGGCAAACATGATACATCACTAAAATGTTATAAGTAATACAAATTGTTACAAATTAATACAAATTGTTTGAACACTTTTAAAATAAGGTGAAGTGGTGACTTTAAAGTTTTGGATTCCTGATAGCAACATGATGTCGGTCATTTATAAAATCGCCGAATCAAGCTGTAACGCAGTCTCGGGTGCTTATTAAGCCCTTTAAACTGAGAACAGAATAAAAATTTTCATTTTAATAATTTTATTTTAACCTTCAATATTATTTCCCAGACATTTATTTACCAACATTTTATGATTTCACATCTACCTTGGAAAATAATACTCTTTTTTCCTTCTGTTAAATTGCATTATAAAATGAATATTTTTATGCATTTCAAATTACACGTAATTTGATATAAACATTTAACAAACTAAAACAATTTCAATAATATTTTCCCCTGCAAAAGTCGCATTGTACATGCCTACATGTACATACATACATGTACATCTATGGGGAGTTTTGTGCAAAATTAGCAAAACTAGTACGGTACAAATCTGCACAAAATACGGAGAAAAAAAATTAATGATCAAAACGCTCTATGTTTCAAGATCATGGATTTATCGAACATAAAAATTAGGGATGTAAAATCGGTCAATTTTTAATACTCGGTTACTCGGACGTTTTTCCGATCGAGTACCCGGGTACTCGGTAAAAGTGTAAATAAATATGAACAAGTAAATTGATGAATGTAAAACATTGTAAATTATTATAGAAATAAAACCACATGCTCTGATAGGAGGTTTACCTGTTAATGCATTTTTGTTGTAACAATGATTAGCACTTCGTGCCCGACTAAATTTAATACAACATTTTTTTAAGTTCAATTTATTAATCAGATAAACACAAAAAAATAAAATCGTTAGTGGTTCACGGTGTTTTTGTTTTAAAAAAATCTACTCCGTAAGGCCAAAAATAAAAATAGTCTTGTTTCCTGCTACCCGACCTACCCTATTTTTTTGCAGCCGACCCTAAAGTTTTTTTTTAGTTTTTGGGAAAAAAAATCAGGAATTTTGGAATTTCATGTTCGAAAACTGAAAAAAAATATATATTCCAGTGGAATTTCATAAAATTCTATGTTTTAAATAAGGACTTTCTTAAAATACCACTTGAGTTGTGCATCAAAAGACATGAAATTCAAATTTAAAAGGCAATATTGACCTGTGGCATGTTTAATTTGATGTTGTAATAGAACATATCCAAAGAAACACTGCCAGAAAAAAATAAAATAAAAAATAAAAATAAAATAATTTCCCTACCTACCTACCCTATTTTTTTTTCAAGCTGGTAGCAGGAAACAAGACTATTATTTTTTTTGGCCTAATTGTAATGTAACTGTTGCGTTTGACGTCCAGGTATCAGTCGTACAGTTTGACTTGAACTTGAGCAAGTTCTAACAGAGCGGATTTACGATTTTCGTATACTTTTCGATCCTAGATTTTATAGTATAACGGTACGGTATTTTGTAGTTTGGTGCAAAGATGGACATAAGTTTTTTTTTAAGTCTTTGTCTTCAACCATTTGTACATGTATTGGCATGTAATCTAACACAACCATATCAACAATCGCACGTGTAATATCATCTGTCTCTTTTCCCCGAGAATTTACGGCTTCTATGAGACTTGACAAAATTGTCTAATTTATTTAATCATAACCGAAACTTAAACGATGTTCAGTGAAAACAAATAAAGCAAATAATTAAATAAGGGTAGAAGATAACCGAAGGTGAGAAAAGCCAGGTAACAGGCGCTTGGTCACGATAATTACTGTATAAACACTGCCACGGGCGATAACAGTCATTTAGAGGAGAAGGAAACCCTAATTACTGTATGTACAAGTGCAATGAGTATTTTACGTTTAAAAACAGATTGTTTGATGCATTAATAGATAAGCTAAGAAATATTCAAAAATATACATCCGAGTAACCGAGTACCGATTTTAGTATTCGATACTCGGACGTTCGATCGAGTACCCGGTTAACCGGGTACTCGTTGACATCCCTAATAAAAATACATGTTGGCCGACTTGAATATTGCGTACTTCTTCATCTTACCCATACATACATCCAAAGAAGAAAAGGATAGAACTCTACAAGAGAAACATACAGTTTATTCATGGATGCAGAGTATCTTATCAATAAGCCAAATTTATTTTTGTGAAAGTGCAGGAATGTGTCAATCAAACCGCCAAAAAATTTGAAGTTTTAATAACTTTTAAAAGAAATAAGATTTTTTATCAATTTTTGTGTGAAATGCTATTAAAATATATAATTCGTGATATTATACAGAAAATATTAACTTCAGATCTGTGTCCAAGGACCTTTAAGGGTTAACCTGATAGCCCAAGCTCGTAGGTAGATATGCATGTATTGTTTGTATAAACCACAATATGGGTATTCATCTAAATGTTGCTTATTTCCTTTTACCGTTGCAATGATGTAGATTTCTGCCATTTTCTTGCATTAACAAAGCCATAAATTTGAACGTCTTTTAGAGGAATAGAAGATTTTTAATTGAGATTTGGTGCCCCCCTTCTTTTCTATTTTCAAAGATATAGTTTAGAATTTTTATTCTTTAGGATGAAAAATCTTAATTATTGATATTTTTAAAGGTATCAAATTATTAGTTTGAAAATACAAATATTATTATATTATTATATAGCTCCACGTTATTTTACGCTTTTACGTTATGAAAATTCATGCAGTTACGCACGCCTACACTGTACGTCAAAATAAATATCCCGTATTTGTCATGCGATATTTTATACATTTATACACAGAAATATATGTCATGCTATACATCAAATGAAAGAGAAAGAAAAACTCTACAAGAATCAATAAAAAACTGAAAATGTCAAAATTCTTCGTTAAGGGAGGTTTTTGCTTGGCGCGCCACATATATAACCTTTAATTGATATCCTAATAGTAATCCCAAAGTAATAAAAAAAAATGTACGAGTTTTCAAATTCCCTCTCAATCTTGATCGATCAAGGTATGAAAAACCATCACTGAAGCTATACAAAAGAAGATCTTTTATGTGCGAGGATAGATCCG